GATGAGTCCCGGCATGCTGCTATTAGCTGGATGGCATGCAACAATCGTAATCATCTCTGAGCGTACAGGCCTTTACACGCAAGTTCGGTTGCTTCAAGAGTTGTCGGACAAGGTCCTCCAACAGCAGCGGCTCAGCGAAACCTTCGTAGGGCGCCTTCGTCTCCAGCATATCCATCTGGTGCTCCGAGAGAGGCCTGCGCAGCCTCCGGCAAGCTCGCAAAAGTGCAGACCATGCTTCCAACACTATGCCATGGCAAGGGTCAAATTTCTAGATTTCCAAGACGACTCTTGCAAGGTTCGATGCGCACAACGGAACTACTACCGCTCGAGGACAGAATGGCTTGCCCTCTGCAGGGATGGCAGCGCACGAAGCGACGGTAACGACAATCCATCTAGCCGCTATCTAGCCCGGGCATCTGAGCTCATGCCAAGGCGCATAAGATTCTGATCATAAGATCATCTTGTGGATTTAGACCGTAGAGGAACTTAAGCGGCAGACGTTAGCACCCTTTCTAATCGCAAAAGATTTCTGTCAGTACCGTACAGAAGGCCGTCTGTTGAGCTCGTACACTGTTGGGGTTTGTTGTTGGCAGTATACAACAGTCAATGGAGTCCCGCCCGAAGAACTAAACTGGCGTTCACCCTCGGTTGGGCCTCACCATGAACGTGGACTGGGGTGAGTCTGCACCTGGTCAGGCCATGCTTTCCAATCGGTTGGGCCACCCAAGCCAGTACAGCTGGCACAGATTTACCCTACGGGCCAGAAACTGAAGGGCACCACGATAGCGCGCGCCTTCGCAGGTCAACGCAGATCTCAGCCCAGCGTGGTTTGTTAAGACCTCAGAATCCCCAGCAGCTAGCAGCAGCTAGCATCTCGACGGCAACACAGCGACGCAAGCTGCAGTCCAAGTCTGTCGCCGAGGCACGACCAGTCCCGAGGCCCACAAATCCACAGGCATCGGCAAAGGCCGCGCTATTAGCGACGGGTCTGGCCTCACAAGGTTGAAAGGAAAAATTAATGGAAGAAAGGCACCTTCTCACTTTCCCGATGGAGGTCTGACGGTCTGGTTCTGGTACTTGCCCAGGATAGCATGTTCCTAAAAGATGGCTAAGTCCATCCAGGCAGCAGGAGCTGCACGTAGGTCGGCCGCTTCAGCGGATCTCCTTCGGTCAGAGCAAATCCTGCGCAGCAGACGCAAGGTGATGGACGCTCCACACACAGGTTGCCCAGAAGGCCTGCAGGCTTGTGCGCCACAAAGGAGATTCCGCTGATCTCCGCCAACGGATGGCCATTGACAGTGATCTCGTGCCTGTCCTGGTGGAAGCTCGCAGATGTAATCGCTAGAGCCTATAAAGACACGCTGCAGGCTGTGCGGCACAAGTCTTCCGTTCAAGAGAATTCTGGACAGGTTCCCGAGCATCCAGCGTCCACCCTTCCCCGACACCCCGGAAGCCTCGATCCAGCGATCTTTGCTCTGGATCTGACCATCCACCGTGACGCGTGACCTGCGGCTTGGGCTGCAAAGGACACTTGTAAGGGAATGTTTCGGCATCTTGGGACACCTGATCAAGAGAATTCATGGAAGAGAGTGATATGTGCAGCTAGATCGGGAAATGCCTGAGCTCGACTGACCATGCCCACAAGCACAAAATCGCTTTGCTGCACGGTCTCCTCATGCCTCCTCTTTCTGCAAGCACTCTGTTAGACGTGAGTAAACGTGCAACCGGGCTATTGCAACAAATGCTTGAAACGTACAACTATCGCAGCCCCGTGCCACAAAACCTGCGAATTTTCTGGGTGGGCATGCGACTTTCTTGGTCGACACTGCCTCTGCACCAGCGCCAAAGCATCCTTGGAAGTGTCAATAACGCAACTTGCAACCGTGGACTTCTTGACACGGAGTCATTCGTCGTTGCTGCGCGAGGCTCTTGGGCACTGAGCCCCAAAGCATCCTGCAAGCGCTTCTTCAGGCGCTGCGGTCCTGCGACCCAGTGCGATGCTGCGAAGGTGAGGCTGAGGCTTAACTTCCAATGCTTCCCGCTCACCTGGTTCCCAGTGCAAGGGCGCCGCGGCTGTCAGAGGTGGCGCCACCTCCCTCGGGGCCGACAGGGAAGTCGGCAGAAGAGGCTTCCTTGCGTCCAGCTCAAACACGGCTAGAATACGTGGTGACGAGCCTGTCGGTTGGACTGCTCTTAGAATTTATGTTGTCTGCGCTTTCCCACGCAACCTCCATCATGCAAAGCACTTCATATGCCTTTATCCGTCCAGGCAGAGCCGGGCAGCTGGAAGCCCCAGGTCGGATGCCAAGCCAAACTGCCATTCTCGGGCCAGCGCGCCCGATTCAGATGTGTCCAGGTCAGTTGGTGGACGCGGCGGTACGGCCTGAGACGCAGACAGGCACAATTACAACCACAAAGACATGTCTTTGCGGTGGTAGTGGCGGTGACAACACAGGATAAGCAGCTGAAGCTGAAGAAGAACAAAGACATTGAAGCTGAAGTTGACTTTGAGCATGGAGATGGTGGTGATGATGGTCATGATAATGATGATGATAGGAGGAGGCCGAGGAGGAGGAGGAGAAGGAGGAGCAGGAAGAGGAGGAGGGGCATCACGACATCGTAATGATGGCGACGATGTTTATCATGATGAAATCATGGTGAACTCGTTGATAATGATGATGAAGATGATGATGGTGATGGTGATGGTGATGATGGTGATGGTGATGATGATGATGGTGATGATGATGATGGTGATGATGACCTTGGTCATGATCCTGATGATGATGATGATGGTGGTGATGACGGTGTTGATGATGACGGTGGTGATGGTGGCGATAACGATGTTGACCTGTGAGGTAAACTGGTTGTTCATACAGCGCTGCCTTCGAGGCTGAATTCCTGATGAACACCTCTCCACTGCCGATTCGGGCCCCACCTAATCTATGAATCACGTCTGCTTGAAATTTGTATACCTAGCATATATGCATGTTCCGTGTGCGCCATGTACTGCATCGTGTACGCCGTGTCGTACAGTCCCTCACGTTCGCTAAATGCGTTGGAACCATTTCTCTCAGCGAGAATGGCGTAGAAACGGTGCCATAGCAGGAGTCCAGCTGAGGCTGGCAAGGGAGGGCACGTCAAGATCCAAATGACGATTGTTCAAGACGATGCAGAAGATGGGCACCATCATCTCGAAGGGGATTGAATTGTGCCTGGGACCTCTTTGAGGACACAGGCATCTCCAACCTGATCTTGACTGCGTTGGAGTTGTGTTTCGGCCACAGGGTGTTTGGCCTGGAAAGCCGGCCAGCATGACATGACAAAACTCATGTTGCATTGGCAACATCGACATCAAGCTCATCGATGACAGTGTACAATCCGTTGACAGTTTCCTGCGCAGCATAGTGCCTGACAGTGGCCTTTTCACATGCAAGATTTGCAGGCCACTCGATCTATGTTTTTGCAGGCTTCTGATGAATCTGCGAGGCGTCGAGAAACAAAATCCTTTCTCGATAACACCAACACTTGAATGAATGAGGCGCATGTATGGCCAGGGTCCTAGCTGGACTCCATGCCTTGAACGTGAACTTTGCGTACGCGTGTTTTCTGCGTTATACTGTTCTGCGGTGTGATACTAGTCTATCCTACTATCTACTATGAAATGATGAAACGAGGCCCCGACGATGTGTCCCAGCGTCGTTGGCAAAGCAGTGACCAAGGTGCAGGCGGCAAGGCAGCGGCCCGATTCAGCCGAATCCAGGCCGGGGGCGGCATGAGGGGTGTTTGACTGGAGCTGAGGTTGTAAGTTGGGAGCTACTGTAGCTACAGGTTCAGGTCTGAGGCGCCAAATTCGCTAGCAGCTCCAGTTCACTGCTGTGGCTTTCAGAACTTTCCTTGATCGGCCGTCTTCCTGTGTTCTGCGCTCCAGGCTGCTTTGGGTTTGGGATACATTAACTGTCGTCCGGCACTTGTTGTTTACATGAAGCACTTGCTGAATGCATCTGAATGAGCTTGGCTGCAGCGTGGCTTGTGTGCAGGACTACGGAAGCGTCTCTCTCAAACATTGCTTGGGGCGGAAGGTCTTCCGCTGGCGCGCTCATGCAGCACATTCACAATGTCGGCATTGCTAACATTTCAGGACGGGCAGGCAACGGCAGGCCGTTTCCACCCAAGCGAGCTTGGGTCCGACCCAGAGCTGGAAAAGAACACGTCCAGCGTGGAGTCAACGCTGCTCAATGCCACCTGCCGCACCAGGCGTGATCGCGTGGTCCAAAGCAAGAGCTGAACCAAGGAGTTCGCCCCTGTGGGTTCCGTCTACCATTCACATTCCATGTCCCGGATCGTGCGCCTCGTGGCTGATGCTGGCACCACCTGCAAGCAGATCACCCAGGTAAAGCCCATGGCTCGGGATGTCATATCCAGCCTTCCGGGCTCTTCTCCATGCCGTCATCTTGCCTGTGGCGGCTTCACTGTATCTCCACGCACCTTCCAAGCTGCCCTTGAAAAGGATGCTCTCAGTTTCGGGCAGCGCGACCATGGCTCACAGGCACCCCACCGCGGGACGATGGCCGGTGCCACGCTTCGTTTGCATGTTCTTTGTGTGTCTTGTCTGGAGCGTGGTCTGGGGATGCGTTTCGACTCTCGGCTTTGCAGTGCGACTACGCTGTGGGGTACACTGTAGACCGCTGAAGATGCTGGGTGAGAATGAAGTTGGGGTGGATGATGTCGGATTCCGGTGGAACCACTTTGAACTGCTGCAGTACTGATGGAATGATTGTCTCATGTTCTGCACTTCGGCACATGCATATGCAGGTGTCCGCGCTGTTTAACCAAAGAACTCTTCGACCAGCTTCCTCGCAACAAGCTTGCAGACAGAACTCAAACGCTTCTCTGTGTTCCGACGAGGCTGGGTATGCAAGGGGCAGATGCGAACACACAGAGGCTGCTCTATTTTCCACTTTGCTTACGCTTCCCGGCTGACGTGCTCGCTGCACGGAGAATCAGTCCTCGAAATCCATGTCCTGAAAGGCAGGTTGTACACGCTGAGCGATGGGCATCCCCAAGGGCCCCCCGCCTACCCCGCACACCTGTTTGCTGGTATGTGTTGGCAACAACTCTCCTTCCGTGCTATCACGACTGCAAGCTCCTCGCTGTCGACCTCGCTGCAATCATCGTCTCGCACAGGCTCCTGCGCCTGGAAGAAAGGTCCATCGCTTACCGATTCGGAGAGCTGGGCATGCACTGGAGGCTTCTCAGACACCTCACAGGAGGGTGAACGGGCAAACCCTCTTAGCACGCATCGCAGACATTTGGTCTCTTGCCCTGCTTATGGCGACGTGTTGTGGGAAATGCCACGTGCCCGGTGCCTATGCATGGAAATGCTGGGTTTGCCCCTGGCGTTTCTAATTTCTCTCTAAATTCTGAGCTTGAGAGCCCCTGATTCCTACTTGTAGATTGCTCTGCCTGTGCGGATGCCTCTGCAATCTTAGCTTGCGATCTAGCTTCTCGCACTGTTCTGCGACGTGGCAGGAAGGTCGGGAATACATAAATGCGCGACCCGTTGCCGCACGTCCAGAAGGTGAGGCGCAGTCCCTGCGAAAGACTGCGCAAAAAGGGACACTTGGGGTGCAAGGGTGCCAGACCAAGAAATTCTCTGTGAAGCTTCCCAAGAGGGAGGTTGCTGCCCCTCTGGTATGTCACAGCCGCTTTACTGGGTATGTGCCCCAGTCTTGCCTGAGGGGGTTGTTGTTGTTTGCTTTCACACCGAGTCGAGGCCAAGCAGGTGGTTTGCTGGAGAGTCGGTTGGGCCTCGACCCAAGGTTACAGGCTTCGTTGAAACATGTCGAAACAGACATCCAAACATGCTACCAAAACTTTGCCAACCGGAAACCTTGCCACAAACTGGCACCTGCTTCGCGACGTAGTTAACCTCCTTCTCCAGTTCAAAGCCTAGGCTCATGCTGAATTCATTCATGAAATGTTGTCGTGCAAAACAACCATGTGACCCATGTGACCACGTGACCATGCGTACCTGGCATCTGACTAGTGTGTGTTCGACTGCACTACTTCTTGCTCCTAGAACGCTGAGGCACAGGCCAGCATATGCTTCACAGACCAGTGACAGCCTGCGTGTACTGGGACCAGCGTGCAACACAGAGTGTAGCCACGCGTCTCGTGCAGATTTTTCAATCCTGCAGCTTCAGCATTCGTCAGCACCACAATTAAGCCGGCGAATGTCAATTGAACACCAGGCAGAAATCCTACACGACCAACACTGCACCTAAAACGTCATGGAGGTACTATTCTTGGAGCAGAAGCAGAAGCCTTTGGCATGCACACGCTTTGCGGCACCTCAGCCTGCATTTGCCAGCCAAAGGGACCCGAAAACGGACGCTGGCCGTGACCTTCACAGATTCGGTGCATGGACTGCCCGAGACTCCAGCAGGTAAGCCCCTGTAAGTCGAACGGTTCCTGAAACTAATTCCCGGAATTTGTACGAGCTCGGACCTCGCGAGACGGGTCAGCGATTCGCCTGCACCTGAGCCAGCCGAGAAGTCGCTCTTGGGGCATTCGTCGACTGTTCTTCTTTCCAAAAGCAGAGCCTCAAGAAACGCTTCGGAAAGGTCGGCGAGGTCCACGCAGCTTCCCTATGGCCCTACGAGTACCAAGTTGCGGGCACACTCGACCCGCTCTTGCCCTTCCCGGGAAGCCGGAAGGTCAGCCACCAGGCCTCCGGAACCTCAGCGCAGCCCACAGGAGCAATCGGGTGCCGGTCTTTTGGAGACCGGTGCGGGGCCTTGCCGGGGAAGTGCGGAGCATGTGCAGCACCAATCGCCTGAAGCCATGCATGAGGAAATCAGCAATTTGTTAACATCGTGCAGGGCTTCATGACTGAATGGGGCGACGATTGGCGTGGCTGATGCCGTGATTGTGTTTCGAGTCAGAGGGCCTCTCCTTCTCGGAGGTTGGCCCGCAGCAGCCTGGCTCGAATCATTGCCGGTAAGAAGTCAGAAGCCATGCTTCCGTTGACGCATACATCAAAGGGTTTGAGTAGGATCAGCTACACCTCTGGCCTGAGGCCAGAGGCATGTCGCTACTCGCAACTTCGCAGCTTCAGCTCTCTACAGACGGCTTTACGCGGCGAGCCAGGAGCCAGCGTCACTTCAAGCAAGCTGGAGGAACTTTATCTCCAGGGTAGCAATGTCGCCGGCACAAATCTCATCTTCGCCGTGCACGAAGACGTGAGCGTCCTGCGCTGGCATCTGAGGTTTCAAGTTTCTGCCAAGCTAAATGCTCCTGGATTTGCATCCTCGGCGCCACAGCCACGAACTCCTCGATGTCCTGCGGTAAAGTCTGCAGCAGAGGTCTCCAGCCCATCGGGCGAGAAGCCCCTGAATTCATGAAAGTCCAAGAGTCGACGGATGACGCGATAAGCATCCGAATTGTCGCAAAGCCCAACCAAAGAGCTTGCGATTGATGGATGGGAGCCCTTGCTTCCCCCAACTGAGAACCGGGCCGCAAGCTCCGAGGGGCTCAGGCCCAGCTCAGAAGCACCCAAAGCCGCACTGCGCTCCTGGTCATGAGGTGATCACAACCCTTGGTCTGAGAACCCACCCAGCCAAAGCTCAGCCTCTGGAGGCATCTCCAGGAAGCCGGTCAGTGTGGAGTACTTCTTCTGCCGCTTTTGCCACCACCTTCTAGGCGGGATGTGAGAATGCCACGACCGGAAGAGTACTAAAGACTAATATTCTCATCCTTCTCTACGTTGTTGGGCCAGTTTCTGGCTCTTCGCACTCCCAGCAATGCCTGCAATTCCACTTGTTGCATTCACGCTTTGAATATCTTTGAATGATATCTTCTCGCAAAAAGGGCGAAGTTCACACCCTCACCAAAAGCCGCTCTGTGTTGGACCAAGGCCGCTGCTTCACCTGCTCACCCGTGAAGTGTGGGATCCTGGCACGACACTGCACCCCACCAGCCCAAAAGCCGTACTGGCCATCAGCATGGGTCACTGGCCAGCAACAGCTCGAAGGTTTACGAGAGCCGAGATCCCCAACAGGTGGAGCACCTTTTTTTTTCCTAAC